TGTTATCAGGAGGAATCAGCTCCTGGAGAAGGACATCATGCTTGGTAAAGTAGAGGGTCAGCGAAAAAGAGGAAGACCCTCAGTGAGAAGGACTGACATAGTGGCTGCAACAATGGGCTCAAGCATAACAATCGTGAGGGTGGCGCAGGACCGGGCAGTGTTTTGTTCTGTTGTGCCTCGGGTCGCTATGAGTCGGAACCGACTCGATGGCACCTAACGACAACGATAACCCTCATATATTCAATAGCTCTATTTGCTGAGGGTGTCTAGAAACTATGATGCCCCTGTAGAAAGGAGCACATCTAGCACCTAAATCTTGGTTTTTAAATATAATTTTCTGATAAAAGGAACCTGGGCATTAGAGAATGGTTGTCTCCAGGGCTTGGGCAAGAAAGGTACAATATGAACCTAGAACATTGTGAGGTACCATATTGTAAGGAAGTGCTCAGGGGAAAGAAATGATGGGGACGTGTCAAATGGATTGTTATTGAACAGTGTCATTAATATCACACACAAATAAAATTTTTGCTGAAGATAATACAAAAGCGATTGCCCCAGTACACTGACAGCGAACTGCCAGAAATTCAAGCCAGATTCAGAAAAGGACATGGAACAACAGATACCATTGCTAATGTCAGAGGGATCTTGGCTGAAAGCAGAGAATGCCAGGAAGATGTTTACCTGTGTTTCATTGACTATGCAGAGGCATTTGACTGTGTGGGTCATAACAAATGGTGGAAAACATTGCTTATGAGGCTCCTGAAAATACTGTGGTTTGGGTCCAGGTGCACCTTAGTCCTCAAAGTGACATCTTTGCTTTTTTTAACACTTGAAAGAGGTTTTTCGCAGCAAATTTGTCGAATGCAATAAGTCCTATGATTTCTTGACTGTTGCTTCTACGGGTGTTGATTGTGGAGCCAAGTAAAATGAAATCCTTGACAACTTCAATCTTTTCTCCGTTTGCCATAATGTCGCTTATTGGTCCAGTTGTGAGGATTTTTGTTTTCTTTATGTTGAGGTGTAATCCATACTGAAGGCTGTGGTCTTTGATCTTCTTCAGTAAGTGCTTCAAGTCCTCTTCACTTTCAGCAAGCAAGATTGTGTCATCTGCATAACTCAGGCTGTTAATGAGTCTTCCTCCAATCCTGATGCTGCATTCTTCCTCATATACTCCACTTTCTCGGATTACTGCTCAGCACACAGCTCGAATAAGCATGGTGAAAGGATACAATCCTGACTCACACCTTTTCTGATTTTAACTAGACAAACTCACTAGCCATTGAATAATATAAGTTCACAGATATCTTAAAACCATATCAATTTTCATCACAGACCTACGTACTCTATTTCACCCCTAAGTTCCTATCTTTGTGATTACTTTTAAATACAGTGTGTGACTTACTCAAGACCTAGAAAACAAGATTAAACAAAATACATGCCACAAATCTTTTCAAGCATACAGCATAAAGTTTGCAGAAAAAATACTGTACATTCTAAATACATTATCTAAAGTATTTATAAAGGCTACACTCACATAAGATTGTAAAATCTAAATAAACAACACATCTATAATAATATTGTATTGTTAATATTCTTCAGTAATTTTATTTTAAAAATAATCTTAAATCTCATTTTTTCATTTTTTTAAATAATGAAAGACTGTCTACTTGATTAATAAGAATGATGAAGGTAAGGAAATCAAAGACAACTTCAAACTGAGCTTAAATGAAAATTATATTTAATTCTCAGTTTTCTGAAAATTCATTAGCAGGGATTTCCTCAGTGTTCAGAGTTGCTAACTGCTCCATGACGGCTTCACTCCTATGCTTTGCCAACAGAAGGGGAGCCCAAAGGGAGAAACTGGTCTGTTACAAGCAAGGCTAGAGGGCTTGGAGTTCCTTTTTACCCATGATTAATTTATAAAAAGTTAATATGTCTACAGTTATCCAGAAGTAAATGGTATTTTTTAATCCCAGGAGATACTAGCACAGGGACTAGACAGGTAGCATAGATGAAGAAAGAAAGTCAGGGGTGTCTGCAGCAAAGGTGTGAACACTTGCCCGACTGGAGTGGACAGCCAACAGTTAGCCCAGACAATTGTTGCTTTGAATGATCCAGATCTGATGTATTTTCTGTAAATTGTTTACTATTTGGAAAATTTTTTGGCAGTATCTACTAAAGCGGAAATACACATTTTCTATAACCCAACACTTCCCCTTCGAGGTACATATCCAATAGAAGTATGTACATAAAACTCTATAAACCCTTTGCTGACAAGGCCATTTCCACTCATAGCGACCCTGTAGGACAGAGTAGAACTGCCCCATAGGATTTCCAAGGAGCACCTGGTGGATTTGAACTGCCGATCTTTTGGTTAGCACCAATCTCTTAACCACAGCACCAGCAGGGCTCCATACCAAACCCTTTGCCATTGAGTCGATTCCGACTCATAACGACCCTATGGGACAGAGTAGAATTGCCCCATATGGTTTCCAAGGAGCGTGTGGTGGATTCAAACTGCCGACCTCTTGGTTAGCAGCCGTAGCTCTTAACCACTACACCACGAGTGTTTCCAGGGCCCCATAGGTTCCGCAAAATATTTTAAAAGACTATTCATAGAAACATTATTCATAATAGCCCCACACTGGAAATAGTCCCAAGGCCCTTCAACAGTAGAATAGGTAAAAACATTGTGACATATCAACAGAATGGAATTCTGTTCAGCAGTGAAGGGGAATGAACTACTGCTTCATGCACCAACATGGAAGAATTTCACAGAGAAATGCAGGCAGAGAGCACGTACAAAAGAGTGCATCCTATATGACACCATTTATATAAAGTTCAAAATGAAAAAAGCAAAGTGATTCCTTGATGACAGAAATCCGATGGTAATGTTTGCGGGGAGGCAGGTGGTTAAAGATGGGGAGAGGCTTTTTGGATGTTGTCAATGTTCTGTACTGAGATTTGGGTGCGGTTACATGAGTATCTTCACTTTGTAAAAATGTGTTAAGCTGTACCCTTAAGATTTTGCATTTTATCACATAGATGTTATACATTTTCCTTCAATGTCTTAAAATAACATATTTTTGGAAAGAAGTTAAGAAGTCCTATTTTATGTGATGAGTCTAGACTTTTTTGTTAGAAACCAATTCAAAAATTTTAAAGCAACATTTGAGCCTAAAAAATATATATCCACTGCCTGCATTGGTCAACTGTTCATATGTTTGTAACATCTCTCCTAGGGCAGGGAAGTCTTTAGAGTGGTGTTTCCTGACTCATAATTCAGATTACAAAAGGAATTGTTAAATTCTTCTAACAATATATTGCTGCATCTGTTACAAATGACACTGGGAAGACCTCTTTTCACAGCTTCTTTTACAGTATAGCTTACTTCTCCAGGAGCCACGCAGGCCCACAATCAGTTCACCTGTGGTCTGCTAACTCATTTAGTTCCCCACGAGAAAACAATTTAATAGCAAAGAAGTAGTTATCTGTAATCACAACGCTTGATCTGGGATTTAGGACCAAAAATTACCTCAGCTGGGGCCATACATTTAAACCTTAGAAAATGTTCTGTTGTAGGAAATCCCAATATAACAGCTTTTTTTCCTAAAATAAATTAGGTAAAGGAGAAGGACCTCTGGCAACTACTGCTACAATGGAGATCCCCATATGTGACTGGCATATACCCAATCTTAATTCTAATTGCTGATATTTAGATAAACTTTTGCTTAACCAAAGACTAATTTTCCTCACAATTTTACATACAAGGAAAATAGGATACACATTGCAATTCTGGTTTAAACTGAAAGTAAAATAAGATTTAAGAATATTTTATGTGGCTGCATTCTACATCTTCTGACAAAATACGCTAAGTCATTTAAAATGTAAGCTGTAGAGCACAATAGCTTAGTATGTGAGACGATTGTAATGTACTATTTTTTTTTACCTTATGTTCTAAGAAATAGTATTGACTTTATAGCGTTATATATATATATACATATGTAGTGTTGAATTAAATTAAATCTTTTTTAAGTATGGAAAATATCCATGTTCTCAGATATTTTATTGTCATGCTCTAACACATATTACTTTGTAATATTTCAGAAATAGGCCCCTGATTTTTCAAATGCCATGTAGTTATACGCTGAAAAAACAAAAGATGAGCAAAGTTAGGCAAACTCCCCCAGACAATGATGCAAAGGTACTGAACTTTTTATTGGGCAATTCAGATTAGCAGCAACACTAGGAAAATTGCTAACCACTTCTCCCAGCATCTAAACTGCCCCTCCAGGCCTATCACTTCTTCTTTTTTTATTATAATATTATAAAAAAACAAAATAAATTGCAAATGTTTTCTTAAAAAGAAAAGATTAATAGAAATCAAAGTTTTAAGCAAATTTTATTTTAGATATAAAATATAAATCATTTTCTTAGTTTGCTTAGAAAACTACATCTTAAAAATATTTTAATACAGACTGGGGAACTATTCTTTCACTTACTGTTTAAATTCATGAAGTAAAAAAAAAAAAAAGGCCAAGCAAAATAAAAGGAAACTGATGTTATAAAAGATAAGTATTACAGCATTCTCAAGTATAACTCTTTATAAAGTGAAAATTAAGATGATATCTTCCAGTAAACCATAATCTTTATAATCAGCACATGGCATATAACAGACTTCAGGGTTTCAGGAACTTTAATTAAGCTTCAAATTCTGTAAAGCTAATAACGTACGTTGTTTTTTTTTAAAGCTGGAATATGTGAACGACAGTAGCAGCAGTTCGGAACAAAATAACAGAAAATAAAGGGAAACAATACTCCATTATTATAAACGTCTCTCGTCTCTCTTAACTTCTATTGGAGATTTTGTTTTTAACATATGAATGATTACAATTGCTTTTTCAATTACTGCTTTACATATGCATGAATTGGCAATGTCCTACATAAAAAATTTCTGAAGGAACTGAAATTAACTACAAAAAATGCACATGGGTGTGTATACACATGAGGGGAGTCTTTTCCTCCTGTGAAGAGTATTTGGGAAAAGCCCATCAGGAACGTATAATATTAGTAATAAAAACTGTAAATTTGAAATAAACCTAAAAGACTTAAATAGCACGTGCATCCTATTTTTGGTCCAACTGTTTTACATTTAAATGGAAACTTTAGTCACTTCTTGCATCTCATGCAAGGTTCTAGAAGGTTTTTTTTTACTTCCCACAATTTTAACCGGAAAAGTAAGGATGTAATTAACATAAAAATAGAAGAAAACACTGAGATTTCACAAAAATTTCTTAATATCCTATAGATGTGGGCGCTTGTAAATTACGGACTACCACTTTTGGAGAACTTGTTATTGCCCCCTTTCAATCGTGTGCATCTTCCAAGGCAAGAAGCTATGACCAAATTGTTCAATATGTCATTATAGCGAAAAGTTTGTCTAATTCTATCTTTCCTTAAATGTGCTCTAGTTCTCGTAATTCACGTGGCACGCTGGCTGTGGCTGGCTGTTAAATTTCCTGTTTTGGTCTAGCTTCAGCAAACCAAACCAAACACATCACAGGAAAGGCTATGGTGACTACCGTTTTTTCTTTTCCTTTGGCATTTCCAGTTAAGCATTTTCTCCTTAGAGGCACCGAGACAGGGAAGATCATAACCGCAGGCGTGGTGTGAGTAGGTCATAGCAGCTTCAACGCACCAAAAAATGTGCCATCTCCATCCTGGGATATTTGAGCATTTTCTCGTGGTATTGCCAGTTGAAGTTCATCTCCTTCTTCCAGCTTTGCAATGCCTGGAAAAGAATGATTCACAAGAACTTTAAATGGTTGTCAAATGGGAAAAAAAAAAAAAGTAAACTATTTTGTTTTGGAAATAACATAGGCATTCACACTTCAAAATACGTCAATGAACTTCCAAACCAGTTGCTGTTCTCCTAGCCTAAAAACAACAAGAAATAAGCATAACGAGTCATAACATATGAATGTATTTATCACCGACAGTTTATAAATGAAAGTTCTGGAAAGAAACGCCCAACTTTAAGCAAAAATAGTTAAGTAAATCATTGATGGAATATGCTAGAGTTAAAGGCAGTTTTGGCTTAATTTTATTGAGAAGGAAAACTTCTAACAATAATATCAAATAAAAATGCAAACACACGTATACCTAATGCATAGTTCCAATTGTAATTTTAAATGTGCGTATATTCTAACATAAAAAAGCAAAAACCAGAACACCATTTGCTAACACAGCACATTTTTTAACATACTTTTTTTCTCTAGAGTCCAGACTGAAACTAGGAGCCATTTGGATTATTTTTTATAGCCTTCTATATTTATGTTTCCTTAAATGACTAAGTTCGTCTTCGTAATCATAAGTAAAAAGTAATGAAGTCCTCAAAAATGACCAATAAATCTGCATGTGCCTGAAAACAGTGACGTAGTCAGTGAATCAGGAATATAAAATACAATTCGGGAACTATACTTGGTATATCAGGTAATTCCTGACCCCATTTTAAAAGAAAGATATGCAGGGGAAGAAAGAGAAGAAAAAGAAATGAAGAAACTGACAAACTAGTATCAGAATTCCTAACACTTTTGATAAACAATTTAAAACGTTGTACTGTTTCATTAACAAACACTGTAGATTTATTTACATGAATACATGCATCTATGTTAACAGCTACTCGATCCTCAAAACCAAAGCATCCAGATTTACTTGGTCCACAACCAGCCAGTGTTTATTTATTGGACACTGAAGTATGTGCCAAACACCTTTATAGACACTGATAGATCAGTGGTCAAGAATGACAAAATTTTCTGTCCCCAAAGGTCTTGTTTTATTTTTTAATGGGCAAAGAAAGACAGCAAACAAAGGAAAGTATTTTTAGGTATTGTTACCAGTAGTATGTACACTTTCAAGAATTGGGAAAACATTTGAGAACTACCTTAAATAGCAAGAAAAGACCAAAATTTGTTGAATAGATGAGTCATTATCCTAAAAACCCAAACCCATCGTTGCGAGTCAGTTCCGACTCATAGCAACCCTGTAGGACAGAGCAGAACTGCCCTATAGGGCTTCCAAGGAGTGGCTGGTGGATTTGAACTGCCAATGTTTTGGTTAGCAGCCGTAGCTCTTAACCACTGCACCACCAGGGCTCCAATCATAGTGATTGAAAATGATCTCATATATTGGCAATGGCTATAGATCGCAGAGCTTTAAATAATATTAACATTCAGGAGTCTGAATTCTTCCAGACTGTAGCAGTCAGCTATATGTTTTCCTACAAAAGTCATATTCGATCTACTAATAACGAAAAACTTTCTGCCTCGGTTCCTTGGTTTCTTGTCGTACCTTATTCTTAAGATGGTCACAGTTATTTTTTTTTTCGGGTTACTAGGGAAGCACTTCGTGCACTAATACACTCACGTGTACATTTAATGATTTTAAACAATTTCACCCTAGAAAAAAATTAAAATTGAAAACTAGAAACTTCCTAGAGAATGTTTCTTGTCAATAATGCTCATTTATTAGCACTGAGAAATATCTTTAAAAGCAAGTTATTCTTAAATCGCAAGCACCTGAGAAACCTGGCAGAGTACTCTAACAGAAAAAAATACGTGAGAGGAGCAGACAATCAGACAATGTTAACAAGAGTGAGTTGTAAAGCTCTAAGGCGTAATGAATGTAAATAATATATTGGACCAGCCTCACCATTTGTAAGCATTAAGAAGTGCCAAGATACTGGTCACCACTGGGCCCAGGGGAACATTTTGTTACGTAAATTAGGGAGTTCCACTTGAGTAAACTTCCTCCCCACGCCCTCAAAACTATTGTTTTGACTGCAGATCCACAAATGACATCATCTCAAGTTTTAGGAACTCTTTTCCTTCTTTTCTAAGCCATTCGTTGTGCATTTGTTTGTAAAAGCCCTTGAAATGGACGACGAATCACCTGTCCTGTATTTCACGCTGCTGTTTGTGGTAACTGTCCGGATCTGAAGACATCCCCCAGGGTTCTGGACAAATTCGGTAAAAATCACCAGAGGAACAAATGTATTTAAGGTGAATTTTTTTGTTTGTTTTTCTAAGACCAGCCTTGGTTAATTTGAAATTATCGCCCAAAATTAAAATCAAGAATAAAAACCCAAACCGGTTGCCGTCAAGTTGACTTTGACTCATAGCAACTTCATGTGCGTCAGAGTAGGACAATGCTTCACAGGGTTTCCAAGGCCTGATTTTTCAAGAGCAGATCACCACATCTTTCTTCCAAGGCACCTCTGGGTGGACTCAAACTGCCAACTTTTCTGTTAGCAGCCGAGCGCTTAATTGTTTGCACCACCCCGGGACTAAGTTAGCAGTTATTCCCAAAAGAGTCCTCAGACAAAGGAGACCTGCCTCTCCATTCCTTCACAGCTGCCAAGTTCTAACACAGGTTTGCTCCTACATTTTCACATCCGGAATTCACCTGCCTGGTGTCCATTTAAACCAGATGTCACCTGTATGAAAATATCATATGTGAGTAGGTGGAGAAGCGATTCTGCAACATGTTCTACCCCTCAAATGAAACCAGGGTATTTCTTCAGCAGCGTAAAGGAGCTATGTGACTGATGCTATGTAAACAGACTGGCTGGTTTGCACCAAGTCTTAAAAACTTCGTAGCTTTGCATCCTGGGGAAACTTACATTACCTCTCTGTGCCTCAGACTCTACATCTCTTAAATGAAGAGAATGAAATGAGCAAGCGTATGTAAAGTAAATAAAACAGTGCCCGGCACTCTGTGATTATGTTAGAGTTATTATTTTTGTTGCAATTACATGTTGAGGAAAACACAGGGAGAACTTTCCTCAGTGTTCCAGGCTGTGAAGTTACCGCCTTTTCTAAATTTACATAAAAATAATAAAACCATTAGTAAAGATTGTATCTGTCTCAGTGAAAAGGCGCTAACTTATTACTCAAGATCATAAAAAACAGTGTGTGGAGGCATGTTTTTTAATCTATTTGGCCTTGAGTATACCACCTTTCCTCTTGTATTGTGGAGTGCAGATTAACAGCACAGCGTATCTTCATTTCACAATAAGCAGATCGGAAACATATTATTTACCAGCTGAATAACAGGAATTATTGGGTAGTGTCTCCGGCATGTTTTGAATACATCGGAACAAAGTGACCAGACTCAATTCATCCCCAAAGACGTGGACTTTTTTCCTCTGTATTAAGTGTCCCATTGCAAAGGTGTTATCCGTGTATAAAACCTGAAAAATGAAACAAAAAACTCTGTCAGAAGCGAGTACAAAATGGGGGACATTCTACCGGGGACGCAGGATTCAGGTTTGAACATACCTGACCATAGATAAAGAAGTAACCAGTTTCTTTGACCAATATTTTATTTTCTTTCTCTTCTAGGGCCCTTCCTCTTTTAAAGCTGAGAAGCCATGGTACAAACGTGAAAGAGCCTACAATTAAGAGAATGACATATAAGAAAAGGAACAGAAAAGCAATCGTTCACCTCCGTTTAGTTGCCGAACTAAATCGGAAGCTTAGAGGAGAATTCCATATGAAAAAGAAAATAAAAAGAAGACAAATTACAATGTCCCACTGGTTTCTCAGCCATTGTTTACATGTTAACCCAGGCAACTGTTGGAATCAGGAACTCAAGTCTAACACTTCATTTGAATGACTGGGTTTCTTCTTCTTTATTTTAGCTATTTTCTTAATAAGGGATGGTCTGAATGGGAGGATTTGAGGGAGAAAATGCACTAAAATTTCTTTGAATAGCATACTAAGAGAGTTTCAGCTTTTCTTTGGTTCTCAGAGAGGAGGAGCGGGGATGTGAACAGTTTAGCAAAGGGTATTGGGAGGAAGCAACCCTCCCACCACCCCTCAACATGGCAGCAGGGCCTGAGAAGAATGAAAGTTACTAAAACATGGTATTTGGTAGGAAATGTTAACAGCATCTGTGATATTCAAGTTTAAGAGATTTTCCATTCGGTTGTTTAATTCTCCTCCACTCTCCCTCAAGGAGCCCTGGTGGTGCAGTGGTTAAGGGCTCGGCTGCTAACCAAAAGGTTGGTAGTTCAAATCCACCAGTCATTCCTTGGAAATCCTATGAGACAGCTCTACTATGCTCTGTAAGGTCGCTATGAGTCAGAATCTACTCGAGGGCAATGGATTTATGCCTCAAACTTCACTTGGGGAGTCAGAGGGAAGCCACTGTGCCCGAGGGTAGGATGACATGGGGCAGAAAGAAGGCGGTGGCTGATAGAAGTGAGTAGACAAGAAGAGAATTGAGTAATTGAGGTAGGATGGGGTCTCCAATTTTTTGGAAGTAGATTTCCAGCCCTTTCTTCCCAGGCAGCTCTGGGTGAATTTGAATCTTCATCTTTTGGGTTAACAAGCCAGGCGAATTACTGTGTTTTTCCACAAATAGTGCACCCACACAAATAACGCACACACACACATAATGTGTGAAAATGACAAAATCATGTTTAAAAAGTTCTGGCATTTTTTTGCTCATACACCACACATGTCACATGACATTTCCAAAAGTGTATTTCTGCCTTATTCATCCTCATTCAATAGTCTAAAAATGTAACTTTTGATCATATTTGTATAATAAAGTTATAAGCTATGGTCAAGAACTCGTGGATCTTGTTTGGTAGTACCCCAGTAATTGGAAAATAAGCGATTGAAACTGTGCATTTGTTTCTATTAATTTAAATTGATGATTATATCCCCATCGATTTTGAGTTGTCAGTCGGAACCTTGAACCTACAGAAGCCCGTCCATAAATCATGTGCTATCAGTTGGAAGCGTAAACAAATCGAAGCCTGCACTGGCATAAATGGTATCAAGTAGCTATCAACAGGAATCTCCATTCAATCTTCACTGACATAATTATCACAGTTGTTGTCTTCCAACTCTGGCTTTTAATTGGAGGAGTAAACAAAGCAAAAGTGATATAGGAATGCTCTTAGCTCAACAGTAGACTGTGAAAACCTTGTCAGATCATCTTAAGTGAAACCATTAAGCTACATTAGGTCTACTTATTTCATAGTCAAACCATGTCTTGGTAGCACCAATGTCTTTGATCAATGATTATAAATAAGTCACCTTAGTCATATGCTTTCAAGCATGTATAAAGACTCTTGCTTCTTGGACACCTCACTTTTGAATTTTGTGATCACTTTACTAGAACTCACCAATTATTGATTATATGGAACACATTTTTTTCTGTTTATAAATCTAAATCTTAGAACTCTTTAGGATCACTCCAGGAATTAAATGCAAATCCTACACCACCGACTTCATACGTTGTGAGGGCAGAAGAAACAAGCAACAGAGCGGCAGCAGGAGAGTTCGAAAAGGAGAGTTGTCCATTTGTGAATGGACAAAGGAGAAAAAGGAGCTGGAGAAAATGAATCCGTGAAAACATGCACATTGGGGGCCCAAAGTGAAATGGCCTGAGTTGGAGAATGACTTAAAAGAGTTGATTATTTCTCGAAAGGAACAAAATCAAGCTGTCTCTCCTGTTGCAAGTCAGATCAAAGCGAAGTTTCTAGCAAATGAAAGGAATCCCAGATTTCAAAGAGGATTTCAGCTGGATTTCTAAATTCATGAAAAGGAATGGCCTTTCCATGAGAATGAGAACCACTGATGATGGTAATGAATGAATAAACCAAAATGGCGTATTTTAAGATGAAAATACAATTTCTTCTGGTGACTTTTATTTGTTGATTTCAAAGACCTTGATTATCAAAAATTATGTTTCAGTTTAAGATTTATGAAAGCAATAAAATATAAACAACATCTTGTTCTTGTAGTTTTGGGCCTAGGATCATTTCTTACTTAATCATTTCTAGCTCTTCGTGCATCCATACACTTTGGTTTCAACGTGGCGTCCCATTTCCATCTTGAGCCCATCCCGTTCACCACTGCTTGCGCTTGGTTTAGGAAAATACCTACCTTAAATGAAGTTGCCATGAGATCAGTTTTATCCCAGTAACATTATATACATCGGATAGAAAAAAAAATTTTTAATTTTGGTCTCCACCATGTGTAAAAATATTTTTGTATCGCACTTTTGTGAATATTGTGCAGGGGATTTTGCGGTTTGCAAAAAACACGTAACGTGTGTGTTATTTGTGTAAAAAATACAGTAACTGCAACACACAGAGACTCATCAATAGCCACTGTTGTTAGCTGTTGTTACATTGGCCCCTGACTCATGGTGACCCCATGTGTTACAGAGTAGAACCGCTCCATAGAGTTTTCTTGGCTGTAATTGTCACAGAAGCAGATCATCAGGCCTTACTTCCACAGAGCGACTGGGTGGGTTTGAACTGCCTACCTTACGATATTAGCAGATTGCAAACTGCTGCACCACCCAGGCTCCTCAATACCCATGAAGAGAGTGTATCATGAATTTAAACTGTAAGCACGCTGGAGTCTTACCCGTAGGTTGTGTGAATATTGAAGTAAAGAGCAAATCTTAGGGTTAGAGACTGGGAAATTTGGGAAGCATGAATAAAGTGATATAAAAACAACCGAGTCACAAATTAGGAAAACTGCAATATAAGAATAGTAGAATGAAATTGTAGTAGTTGGTCTAAAGTCCCATTCAAAAAGTTCTTCTATAATTGGTAATGGTGGGCCACACATGTTTCCAAACTTTATCTTGCTCATTGCAGAAAAAGGATGGCAAAATCTCTTATAAGATTTACAGAATCCACAAGAAACAATATACCATTAGCTTAAGAGAAGAACCACTCTTCCTAGAATTGAGATTAGAAAAGAAAATTCTGTGGATTTTCATAAAGTGGCACACTATGATGTGGGGCTAGACCATGGATTCCACATTCCATAAACATGATGGTTAAATACATATGTCTACAGCATACAGCGCTCCCAAGGCAAATCAACCATGTTTTATTTATTTTTTTTAAACAGGATTTGAGAGAAGAACAGAAAACCAGAACTTCATATTTTCTGAACATTTCTAAAGACTTAAGAAACCTAGGTGTTAAGACCGAAGAAATCATACGGTGGATTCACGTTAAAATGAACATTTCCTTCAGGCAGACCTTGAAGTTAATATTCCCATAGACAGAGGAGGGGGTTGTGTGAAGGAGAGTGGGAAGGAAGGAGGGAGGGATGATGGAAAGGAGGGAAGAGAAAAAATGGGAGAGAGGATGGGTGGAGAGACATCACAGATCTTCTTCAGCACCTGCTATTGTCTGTTCCTCTTAAATGCTCCCATGAATTACTCCAGTGATTGTCTCTCACCGACAGTTAATGTCCCCCTAAAACGGGGCAAGGCTGGTCACCCCAATTACTTGTTCCCAAAGTAGGGCTCTGGGATCATTTTTCTTAAATGAGAAACCTTCCAGTGCCATACTGGTAATAATAGTCAGTGAACTTCAATTACAAATCACAAAGGGAAAATTATCATCACTTTTTTTATATGATATCATTTCAGTTAAAAGATTGTAACATATTTTAAAGTTCTGCTTCAATTAGATTATGTATGCAAAGCACCTTTGACTCATGAGTGCTGAAAGAATTACTATAATGATTGTCATTGTTGTAAAATATAAACTGATAAAGTTGAAGGCGATTACTTTCATGGTACCAATCCTTCTCACGTGATGCCACAATCAAAGAAGAATGAAACTTTTCTTTTTTCCTTTCCTTTTTTTTTTTTCTTCAAACAATCCATATCTCAGATTCTAACGTCTCTGAGGTCAAGGACTATCCATGTTTGGTTTACTGTCTTTTCCCCAGGACCTAACACTATAACTGACTCACAATAAACAAGCAGTAAATACAGGTGGTCCCTGACTTACGGCATATTTGAGTTATGACGAACGCACTCATACCCGTCTGTTTTTTGGGTTTTTTTGTACATCTTATTGTTAGTAATGTTTACTAAATACATACAATGGTAGAAGGAAAAAAATATTGGGGGTAAACTCATCACTTGCCTCATTCTTGGCAGCTGGGGCTCAAGGGATCGCATTTAAAGTTCACATTATCAAGCAGTAGAAATATGAACATTTTAACAGTGTGCAGAGAAACATTAATGAATATAATGCCGCTAATAAAAAAATAGAAGGTGGAAGAGAGGAAGGATAAAGGGAAGAGAGAGGAATCACACTAATTTTATCATAGACCGAGAAGGGAACTGAGAGATACTGTCTGAAGCTATAATTAGAAAGGCAAACACTGGAGCTATGCCCACATGTGGAAAGCAAAGCAAACAGTCTATGCAGTGAGCCACTGTTTTAAAAATACAATAGGGAAACCTTTTTGATAAAGTGTAAAAAGAACATGACATAACATAATATGATAGACTATGGATCAATCATATCTCTGAAGTAAATAAATGCAAATGCAATCAAATCATACGATAAATGAAAATGATTTTAAGATGAGCTCAAAATCAAAGCGCAACTCTACGCTGTATAAATGTAACTTACTGAAAAGGAATCATTTCAGGGAGGTTAAAAATAAAATCTCCGGCAAAAGCATATTAGGCAAAGGCAAACCGAGAGAAAGAAGGCTTTTCAACTTTAATACTGAAAAGGCACACCATGGAATTGAAGAATTTTGTCTACAAGAACAATAACCAGCTAGATGCTATGATGAAAAAAGATATCTTCACTTACTATAGCACCAGAAATGAAAAAACACCTCATATGAAAATTAACAAGCAATATACAAGAACTTTATGAAGAAAACTTCAATACACACTTAAAAGACACAAAGGAAGACAGAACGTGTATAAATACATATCACGCTTTTGAACTGAATTTAATTGGAACACTTAATATCATGAGGATATTTTATATAAATTTTTAAATATAGCAGGAATCCAGAAAAAAAAAAACCAGAAGCTTTTTTTTTCTTTTTGACTAGACAAGTTGATTTTACAGTTCATAACGGGAAAAATAAACAATAACACTAAGGAAAACCTTGGAAATGAAAACAAACCCAGGGGCAAATGAGACTTACCAAATAATAAAATGTTAGAAAGTCTTAATAACTAAAATTAAAGAGACAAATCAATGTAATGGAAGAAAAGTAAGAAACCGACACAAATAAATGCAGGAATTTCATATATGTTAAAGGTAGCCTCTCCAAGCAGTGGAGGGAAAAAGTGTCTATTGAATACGTATGTTGAAACAAAGGGTAGTCCTCTGGAAAAGGAAGTAAGTTGATTCCATAGCTCACATTTCATACCAGAATAAACTGCAAATAGATAAAATATTTAAATAGAAAAAATAACCATAAAAATTTCAGAAGAAACTTGGGGGCGTTCCTTTATAACTTTGCAGTGCCAAAGGCCTGTCTAACCACAACTCCAAATCTAGAAAGTGTAAAAAGATACTGATAGATTCGAGTTGAAAAAAAACAAACCTTAAAATCGAAAAGACGACTGACAATATGGGGGAAAATATTTGCAATTTATAAAACAGAGAACTAATTTCCTTAACATATACAGATCTCACAGAAATCAATATAAAAATGACCAATAACCCAATTAAAAAGCGAGAAAAGGTATGAACAGACAGCTCATAGAAAATGAAATAAAAATAGCAAAGAAAAATTGAGAGAATATAAAAACAGTTCGTAGAAATACAAATGATTCTTAAAACACATGAAAAGATAGTCAATACAGTTCATATTAAAAGAAAAGCAAATTAAGTTACAATGAGATACTATTTTTCACCTATCAGATTGGATAAAACCCAAAATTTTGATGACACTGATTGTTGACAAAGCCACACACAGTCAGTCTTTTACGTAGCCTGTGATTGTATGAGGTTTTATAACCCCCAAGGACTCAATGGCAACAGGTTTGGTTTATTTGCTTTATACTGGCCACTTGGCAGTATCTGTCAAAATTCAACTTCTGGCTGTTTGTACTACAAATAGGTTGACACATAAAATAAAGAATGTACACAGTTATTCTCTGAAGCACTGCTATAGCAAAATACTGTCACCCAGAAGTCTATTGATGGGGGCTAGTTAAATAAATTATGGTAAATCCATACAATGGAATACTATGCAGCTATTTAAAATAATGAGGATGCTATGTACAGACATTGAAATAGCTGCAATACGCATTGTTAAGTGAAGAAAGCAGGCTAGAATCTAAAATCTTGTTTTCAAATTGTTTGTCCCATATGTGTGGTATTTTAATCTAGTATAAGATGGACGGAAGTCAGAAATATAATCTGTTTATGGTTGCATAAAATTTTTTTTACAGTCTTCATAAAAACCAAACCCATTGCCATCAAGCTGATTCTGACTCACAGCGACCCTGTAAGACAGAGTAGGACTGCCCCATAGGGTTTCCAAGGAGCGGCTGGTGGATTCAAACAACTGACATTTTGGTTAGCAGCCTGAGCTCTTAACCACTGCGCCACCATGGGTCCTCTGTCCACATAGTAAACAATAAAAGTGGCAACTTGTGAGGTGGGGGTGGACAGGAATGGATAGAAAGGGCAAGAGTTTTAGATCTATACATTTTGTGTTTTTTTTTTATATTTATTTGCAACACGTGAAGGTAAAACCTACTCAAAAAATTAAATTAAAAAATCAAAAAATCAAAAAATAACTAAATAGGAGAGACATGAGTTTTTGCCTTTTTCTGTTTTACGCCACTTGCCTTTGCTCTGTCCTGGTTCTCCCTTTGCCTGTCTGGACAAATCTATGGGATTCCTATAACAACTGTGGAGATTCGAAAAACGAGTTGAAAATAGCCCGTCTTTGGACCTCTGAGCCTCTGGAATGCGTAACATGAGACTTTAAATGATGTACCTTTCCCAGAAAGACTTCTCCTGGGTCTGTCCAAGTCAAAATATTTCATGGACTACAATCTTTTTTACCGAAGTGAAATGTTTGAACTGTCCTCCTGCTAAAATGCCCATGCTCACTATTTACATACTGTTCCCAGAGGTTTGCTGGCATCACAAAGACCATCCATGGGTCCAGAGGGTCCAAGTGCCACGGGGAAGAACTGCTTAATCAGTGCAATGCAGGCACCACTCAAAGATAACGGTGTACATTTCTCACTCACAACGGAGTAACAGCTCTATCTTTTTGTGTAATTTACTGCATTTTTCCCCCTTCTTGCCAAACGTGTAATGCAAACCTTTTCCAAATAATTTTTTTTAAAACTTTATGTTTTGTCCTTAGGGTATTCTTGTGGCTTTGTTTACATTCTTAGGAAACAATTTGCTGTCTATTAAAAGCTGCAAACTTGTGTTTTTAGAAAATGCAGAGTGATAAATAATGATAGAGTTTCAAATAATTAAGTACTTGTGCTGCATTTACGATAATTGAAGTCAAACGGAGAAACCCAACTTACAACTCGGAAAACACAGATGCAAAAGAGCATTCAAAGGTTATCATTACAAAGGCTAATTCAAGTTCATTGTTTCTACTAGTTCTTGATTCTCTTTTCCTGTCTCCCTAGCTTAACCTCCTGATACTCCCAAACCCACTATGTGGTTCTCAACACAAAAATTCCTTCATCTCTTCCATGCTTTATTTTTCTCTAGCATCTATCACTATCTTTCATTCTATAGTTTACATGTCCACTTGTGGGATTTTTTTTTTCCTGTTTTCCCTTCATCAGAAGGTGTGCTTCATGAAAGTAGGGAATTATGCTTCTTTTATTCACTGCTATTCCCCCCAGTGCCTATATAGTAACTGAAACGCTGTACCTTCTAAATCAACCTGTGTAACATAAATGAATAAATGAATGTGTGCGTGAATCAATGAATAGTTCTTTTCCTAGGACACTTTTGTTAATTAGCTATCTTGTATCAACCAGCCATTTCAAAAGTATCTTGCTTCCAAAATGATGTTCATACGTGTTACAATGGCATGGTCCAATGAATTTGTAAAAAGCTGGATTAAATAAAGTTAAACAAGTCTTTTTTTTTTTTACACTAGGACTTCTCCAATTCAATAACATGTAACACGCCTTGTGACCTTAAAGAAAAATGAGTAGAATATTGTGTTTCCAAACTTGTTTGACAATAAAAAGTCTACTTCATGGACCATTTCTCTGGATTAACATTCTGTGTGAAACATTTTCGGAGATGAGGTTAATGTTTATTCTCCATGAACCTGGTTCCAGGCCATTATAGAAAACTCTGTATTGTCTAGAATCCAAGCTGACAAAAACTTTGAATAATCAAAGTAGTTTAAAGCATTCTCTGTCTATGAGAAAAATGTTAAATTATAAAGAAGTAGTTTGACATGACAAAGAAATCAATGGACATTTTCATACAATTATAAAACCTTTCCATGTTCAGTTTCATTTGATTAGGATTTCTAAAACTTAATATAAGAAGTAACGTTTGTGAAGATGATCCTGAGTCATTATAGAAGCCAGAACGATTTCTAAATAATTAAAAATTATATGGAGTTTAGTACTGGGGTTTATCGTATTCTAGTTATTTGACAATTTCTAAACCAATATGGTATCCCTACAGTAATTCTGATCATTAGAATGTTAGAACTAGCCTAAACATTTACTCCCCGATCATTCTGAATAAATTTAAGTTTACTATTCTATATTTGATTATAAGAAATTCTGAGACAGATGGTTAGTTTGACGTGTAGTTCAAACACGGTCTTTAGACTTGGAACTAACAAGTATCCAGGCTGAATCCTGTGTGGGAAAAGCACTGAGGCCGTTTTATTACCTTTTCGTATAGTAGGTGTTTCATTGTCTGCAATCAGTTGCAAGCAGTCCTGAGTGACTAAAAAGCAAAAATAGATTATTTAGTTACTTGAGTATAAATAATAAGGTAACTAAGATGCTTATAAACCAATTCTTCCTGAAACACTGAATCAAATATACTTTTTAAAATACTTGCATATTGTTCTTCAAGTTGCTTTCTGAAATGTATCCACAAATAATACACAATGTACTTGAAATTCATGATACTTTAAGAAAAACTCCATATGCTCTTGAAATACAGTAAGTACACCGGCTTTACAGTTTACCCTATACTTGTTGCCTTTGGGTTGATTCTAACTCACAGTGACCTATAGGACAGAGTGGAAACGCCCATAGGGATTCCAAGCTGTAATCTTTACAGGAGCAGACGGCCACATCTTTCTCCCATGCAGAGGAGGCTGGTGGTTTGGAACCGCTGACCTTTCCGTTAGCAGCCGAGCGCTTTAACCACTATGCCCCCAGGGCTCCTTAGAGTTTAACCTAATTTGATTTAAAATGCGTTGCATGTATAGAAGCAAATTTAGTCATTTATTTTTCAATCTATCAAATACATGAAATAATTATTAAACTACCAGATAATTTTAAAATAATCTTTTGTTTAAAAAATTTCTAGCATTAAATGATGATTCACCACTACTGAAATATGACTGCAAACCCCACTGAGAACATAAACGATTGCTAACGTTCATTGAGCAGATGGGAATCCAGACAACGGACTAAGGCTTGGTATGCAGCATCTCATTTTATCTTCACAGAAATCCTAAATATTTGGTATTGGAAACTAAGGCTTATAAAGTGTAAATAACTTGTTCAGGACCTCAGAGCTACAACATGACAGATCCAGAATTTAACCCAAAAGGTCTGCCTTTGGTAAAGTATTTTATACCAAAGACAGAAAGAGACAGAGCATCTTTTAAAAATAATATGGAATACTTCAGTGAACTGCATCATCAGTACAATTTCTGGGAAACATTGTCCATAGACATCCCATATTACACGTAGAATATTTCAGAGACTATTCTAGAGAGTAAATAACAATTGCATTCGATTAAGACAAATGCCTTCAGGTAAAAGCAAAATAAGTACATCTTCTTCTGGATCTGAAGGAAGAAAAAGGCAGTAAATACCTATGAAAAAATATCATATATAAATCTAAGCTAGTATGCTTTAAATTAAACAATAGTTTAGATTATTGTCTAGCAAGTATTTTATTCAGAGTTAAAGTAATACTTTAAAAAATGTTTCTCAATGAATATATTTTAAGATATTAACACAGTGCCAAACGCCTATCTAAACAAAGGGATTCACTGAAACATGACTCATACTGAAAGCTTGCAATAATGGAACTCGCCACTAAATGATATTCTGAGGCTGTGAAAATGCGTCAGTTTAAAAAGAATACTTTTAACGGAGTGATCCTTTACATAAGAAAATCTGTTACATTTCCCTTGGTATTTAAAGACGGAAATACAACATTAAACTCTGCAATTTCTTGATGCCCATGAAATTTTCTAACATCTTTTTATGTTTAGCTGATAATTTCAGTAGAAGCAGAGCATTTTGTTCACATTGTGAATCCCTTTATTGATCTTGTAAAGCAGCTGTAGCCACAGGCAACAAACCCCTTTTGTGCCAGAGGGAAAACATGATTCAGAAGTGCTGTTGACTGAGCAGAAACTATGTAAAAGAATCCTGACAAGACAGAATAGTTGGGAATAAGGACAGCTTGTAAGAAAACAATAGCAAAATATACAAAGAAGCTAAGACATCAAGTGCATAGTATCTAGATTAGACCTATTAAGCCATTGTTTCTAAAATGTGTCCTATTTCTTCAACTCACACTTACTAAGTAATTACTATTCGCAAGGCACCACTACACGTTCTGTGAGGGATATAAAGGTTAATCAGAGCACACGAAGCTGATGAAATTCAGAGCCCGGTTTACAAACTTTCCATCTTTCCTTGATTATCATTTGCATATATGTATAGCAAAGAGTAAATTTGTTAATACATATGAAATATTTAACACTATACCAAACAAAAAGCATATTGCTGTTGAGTCGATTCTGACTCATACCTGATACATAATAATTGCAAAATAAACTGCTGCCATTATTACTATTAGTTAGAAGTGCTAGCATTTTTATTCTTATCCGGCCAAAGAAACTGGGAAACATAATGGATTTCCCAGTTTCTTTGGCCGGATAATGGAAGCACCCTGAGAAAGCACGCATATCAACCAAAGCTGATAAAGACACCAAAGAAACGCTAAACCAAAGACCAAACCCATTGCTGTTGAGTGGAGTCTGACTCATAGTCATCCCTTGTAAGACAGAGTAGCACTGCCCCGTAGGGTTTCCAAAGCTATAAATCTTGAAAAGGAACCCTAGTGGTGCAGTGGTTAAAGCAATTAACTGCTAATGGAAAGGTCAACAGTTTGAAACCACCAGCTGCTCTGCGGGAGAAAGATATGGCAGAGATTTATAGCCTTGGAAAGCCTGTGGGGTCACTATGAGTCAGAATCGACTCAGTGGCAGTGGGTTGGGTTTGGTTTTGGAATCTTTACAGAAGCAGACTGCCACAGCTTTCTCCCACAGAGGGGCTGGCGTGTTTGAACCACTGATCTTTCTGGTTAGCAGCCTAGTACTTACCCACTGCGTTGCCACTACAGCATATTGTTTACTCTTTCAATTAACCCTTTCCCTGACTGTTTCCCCCAAACTCTTGTAGGAGTTCCATTGGTAGTAGTGAAACCCAAGACTTAGTCTATTTAAACTGAAAAAGGTTTACCTAATAAGCAATGCCTAGTCACTACCAAGCTGATATGAAAATATCTGAATTTTAATCTCTGCAGTCCAACTAAAGCTTGGCCAGAACCTACACACTGAAAAACATTGGTCTATTCTACATAAAACCAAAAAAAAAAACAAACCCATTACTATAGAGTCGATTCCGACTCATAACGAACCTGTAGGACAGAGTAGAACTGCCCCATAGGGTTTCCAGGGAGCAGCCGGTAGATTCAAACTGCCTACCTTTTGGTTAGCAGCCAAGCTCTCGACCATTGCACCATATTATAGAGTAGCAGAAATCTAACGTTTAGAAGAAAAATGTGCTAGGGAGAGAAAACGTTACTTCAAAAACTGCTCTTCAGAAAAGAAAATGGGAAATCAAGAGGAAAGTTCACTGAAAGGATTTGAATTATACTCAGTGGAGCTTGTGCTGTTGGGTAACTTTCCTTACGCCCTGCCATTCAAGAGAAACCCACTGGACTTTCCAGTTTTTTCAGAAATAAGAACAGGACTTTCCAATCAAGCCTCATTAAATGCTGCTTAGGTCTTGTTAATGTTATCCACCACTTCACATTTCAACTCCTCCTTTCAAGAAATTTGATACTTATTATCAACTTTTCTCTGATTCATTCTTTTAGGAATCTCATTGCCATTCAACCTAGATCTGACCTTAGATTATAGATTTTTGCTCAGCCAAGGAACTACTCCAAAAAGTGTAGACCAAACTAAAGTAATATTATATTTTAAGATCTTCCAAAGCATAGCTATCCAACCACAAGCATTTTAAAAATGTATAGTCTGATGTAAGAAGCGTGATATTGAAGACAATTGAAAACTCTTCATTCATTGTGTTTGGTTTTCTTTGTCTTTCACACACGTTTCCTTCCACTACAATTGAAGGGAACTAGACAAGAGGTTCAGAATTATTTATCTTTTTCACTAAACAAAGTAATAGCATACATTAAGATCTTTCTGAGTCCGAATTTCTGAATATATTTCTGAAGATTATGATATAATGATGTGCTAGTCAGCACAGAGTAGAACTGCCCCATAGGGTTTCCAAGGAGTGGCTGG